ATCTCGGTGACTTCCGTGGGCTAAGTTGGAGCAAGATAGAAGGAATTTGGGAAATTCCCATCTAGGTAGTCCCCGGCATGGGCATTGGTACGTGGGATTTTGTTGGCGAGATTAGAACCTATGGTTGAGAAGAAGTCGTTTATCTTGTTAGCTGTGTCAGTGGGATGCAGTGGTGTTTCATTATTTTTAGTTAGGACAATATTCTTGTTTTTTTTCAGTTTGTGGGTCCCTAGAATCTGAGTGTTTTTTCCAGGTCTTTTTTTATATCTCCTCTTGTGTCAGTGAATCTACTGGAGTAGTACAGTTGTTTGGCTTTCTTTATTACTTTGGTGAGGAGTGACGAATAGTGTTTAAGAATATCTTTGTGTATTAGGCCCTGTCTATATTGCTTTTCATATTGGTATTTCTTATCAATGGATTTCAGAATGGTGCTGGTTAGCCATGGGCAACCAAGCCATTTGTTTGTGATCTGTTTTGTTTTTATAGGACAATGTTTGTTGTATAGTCTAAGTAATTTGTTAAGAAAAATGTTTGTCCAGTCATCAGTACCATTGGCCTTGGAGAATTCTGTAGGCCAGTCAACAGTCTCTATGTCAGCTGTGAACTTCCTTATTGAGGCCTCGTCATGGAGTCTAAATGAAACTTTGTTGTATTCACGTGGTAGTTTACTAATGTTTGTCAGGAGGAAGGTAGGGTAGTGGTCTGTAGTGCTATCTGTGATTATCCATGATTTAAGGGGAGCTAGTATATTGGTCCATATGTGGTCTATTATGGTTGCACTTGTTTCAGTGAGCCTGGTTGGTTTAGTTATTGTTGGTATGAGAAGTGTGTTGTTCATATTGTTGATGAAATCAGTTACAGGCTGATCATCTAGTAATCCAAGGTTGATGTTGAAGTCTCCAGCTAAGAGAAGGTGGCGCTTATTCATTTGTCTGTTTGTTATTAGTTCTTTTAATTTCTCACTGAAATTTGGGATGTTTGTGTGGGGTATCCGGTAAATGGCACCGATTGTTATAGGCGTCTTAAGGTTTTTTACAGTAAAATTAGCAAAAATGTATTCTCCATATTCATCACTAAAGCAAGTGGTGCTAAGACAAGATAATTGGTTAGAGTAATAGATTGCAATACCACCCCCAACTTGGTTTGGTCTGCAGTTGTGGATTGCTGTGTATCCTGGTAGAGGGTAGATATCTATTGTGTCCTGCTTAAGACAGATCTCAGTAAGAATAATGCAGGAGGAGGGTGTCTTTAGTGATTCAAGGAGTGCCAGGAGGTCATCATAGTGTTTGCTTAAGGACCTGATGTTGTAGTTAAGTACTGATAGACTTTTAGCATTGTTCAGGATAGTGCTGGCTTGTGATGCTGTGTAGTAAAGGCAGTTACTTTCCAATAGGTTTTGGTTGTGTGTCAGATTATGGAGGTTTAGATCAGGGTCAACGTGATCAATCATCTTCTAGGTTTAAATTATGGTTATTTATATCCTGAGTTGTGTGTTGAGTTTTAGTACTGATATCTGTAGTGGTGGGAAGTTTGGACAAGTGTATAGCTATAGCATTTTGGTCATGTAGAGTATAGTCACTAATACACATAATGGAGTTGATGTTGTCTATGTGTTGTGCTGGAATGAGCTTAAGTACAACTAGGTATGAACTAATAATACAAAAATACAAATTAAAAATAGCACAAGACTCTCACTAGTAATTACACTATGGTCTAATATAATGAATTTGGTACTGACTATGTATTGAGCTAGAATGAGCTATAGTACAACTGAGTTTAATCTAATGATATAAAAAAGGCACAAGACTCTCAGTTGTAATTGCACTAAGGTCTTATATAAGTTGTTTACAAGAATTAGAGTATAACTAGATTTAAATTGACAAGATAAAATATACAAGTTAAGGTAGCAAAAGAATAAGAAAAAAAAAGGTAGAAAAAAAAAATATATGAGGTAGTTGGTACTAGTTAGCAAAAGATAATTAAGGGCCTTGAACAATAATATAATTGAAATATACACTAATTGCACACACAATATAGTCACTAAGATATGAAAACAATCTTAGAGTAGGAATTATAATATAAACTTATAATATAAAAATACAAATTGAAATGGTACTTGCAATTGCACTAGAGTCTGGTATAGGTTGTTGACAAGATCAAGAGTATAACTAGATTTAAATTGACAAAATAAAATTCACAAATTAAAGTACCAAAAGAATAATAAGTAAAAAATAACAATGGCAATGTCTTGGTTATAATATGATAGTAACATGGTAGACAGGTACACAGGTAGACAGGTACACAGGTACACAGGTATACAGGTACAAAGGATAATATAAAGGTTGGAGTTGAATATACAACTTGGAAATTTGGCAACAAAATGTTATGGGAAGTATAAGATAATTATTAATGTACAAAAGTAAAATTGACTGGTAGTAAATATGGTGTTTAATAAAATTTTTACTAAGTAATAATGATTACAAAACAAGTTAAGGTAAGGTGAAGGTAATTAGACAAGTAATGGTTATTAAATGATGTTAAAAATGTTAAGAGTAAATTGTATTGATAGTAAAAATGGTAATTATTAATTTTAGTAAGTAATATCAATTAATAGTATTTAAAAAAATGAGGTAGTAATATGGACAGAGAAAGTATCGATTCAGCTAATATTTAAGCAAACAATAGTAAATAAGAAAATTAGATAAGGTGACTTATGCTTACTAGTAAAATCACAAAATGAGCTAGTTGATTATTTAATTACTAAGAGATTGTACTACGAAATTTGAACAATAATGTAGCAGAACATACACTACGCTACATAGGCTTTTAGGTTGGACATTGTTTAGTTATTCTCTGTAAGATTAGTATCCCTGAGAAATCGTGATAGATCATTCTCGTTCGTGATTGTGTACAGTTGACCTACATTTGTTTTCCTAACTAGAATTTTCCCATCCCGTGTGAAACATTGGTGTATTGTGTCATTATTCTCCCGCTTAAGTTTTCTGACTCTATACAGGAGGTTCTGACGTTTTTTGGTAAGACACATCGTTTATGTATACCTCTTTCTTTACTTTAATAGATGCAATAATTAGGTCTTTTTTCCTGTCATGTGAGTGGAATCTAAGCATAACACTTTTTCTACCATGGGATCCTAGTAACCTGGCTTCTTTTATTTCTGACTCTGGTACAATAACACTTGTTTGGTCCTTTATGATCTGCAGAGTAATTTCTTTACTGTTTGTTTGGTTCATATCACTGGGAAAAAGTGGACTGTTAACTATTACTGCGTCCGATAGTTTATCTTGTTCAGTTTTATCTTCTTGGAGAGCAAAGTAGTCACTGAACTGGTTATCTAAGTTGTTCTTCCAGTCTTTTACTGCTTCTTCAACCTTTGTATTAAGAGATATTATTTGTTGAGTATGGCTGTCTATGACTGTTTGCATGGTCTTGTTACAGTTAGTCATTCCTGGTGTTGATAACTTTTGTTCAAGACAGGATTTTGTTCTCGATTTGTGTCATCCTGGTGTCTTGTTTTGTTAGTGTCTCTCGAAGATTCATATTTTCAATAACTAAGGTGGAGATGCATGACTTTAGGGTATCTCAATGCACATAAAAGGCCCTAAAATCTGGAATTCATTACCTGTAAATATAAAAGAAACACTACCTGTTTATAAATTCAAGTCTCTTCTCAAAGATCACTTACTCACCCAAAACCAAATAAATACTGAATAACTGAACCTTATAAATTGTATATCCTATATGTTACTCACAATTATATCACACAAATGTTAAACCTAGGACCCAATCTAACTTTATTATTTTTTTAAATACACTACCTAACAGAATACTCCATTCGACTGAATGTACAGCACTGCATGCAACCATATGACCTGTCTTTGTAATACTCATTTGTGCTTTATAGTTATCTGTTTACAATAATGTTTTATCACTGATTTCATCATTGCTTAGTTAATCTTAAGTTAATTTTAAGCCAGCCCGTAATGCTATGCATATAAGTGGCTTTGGCATGCTGCTCTTACCTGTATTTTTTGTACCTCTGTTTGTATGCTTAAATTACTAAATAAATAAATAAATAAATAAATCTGGATCGTTGGTCATACCTGAGACTACTTGGTAGGTTGAATCCGGGGAAGAGAGGGGAGGATGGGCTGGTGGCAGCCATGTTTGTTGTTATTGTTGTGGTGTTGCCTTGAGGGGAGGTGAGGGGTGGTTGCTGGGCCGGCGTCCTCCTGGCTACACTTGTTCAATACTTGATTTTTCGGTGTTTTCTTGCTGGCCTTGGTGCCGTTTCCTCTTAGATTGCGCCTCATAATACTACAGGAATTGTTGTAGTTAAGAAGAAGTTGTAGTTATACAAAGCTTACGGTTACGTTGTTCGGCTGGCAGCGGGGTGTTGCTTTCGGTTTGTGGGCAGTCTTCCTTTGATCTCTACTATTTTCGATTTGTAGGTTTCACTGTTGGTAATCCTTGGTCATTCTGGGTGCTAGGTTGGGTAGTGCAGTTTTGCTTGTAACTAGGTCATCATAGGAGCATTGGTGGCTCTGATAGTTGGAGAAAAGTACGGAGCTTGGAGGTCGCTGCTGCCTCTTAATTGCCTCCTCTTGCATCACATTTCATCAGTCTCTCGCCATTTGTGAATGGTTTTTAGTGGCCTCTTCTCTGTTGAAGGTACACTTCTCTGTGTGTGTGTTTGTTATAATATAGTGGTAAAGTACTATTATAATGTTCATATATATATGACTTCGTACAAGCCATTCTTCTAAATTGTTAAGATGGTTTTTAGGAGGTAATTTTATTTTTAGAAACATTTAAATAAGACTTATTTTAAATGTATGTATAGTACATAAATTTTAGCAAACAAGTATAAAAGTACATATATTTTAAATAGGTAATTCAGTAAGTTGTAATTTATGTGATAATTAATTAAGCACTCTTAATTTATGGTTGTCTATGCGACACCATTGTTTCATCAGGTGTGTGCTCAAAATGATGACTGTGACAGTATCCATCGCCGGCTGATAAAGAGCTCTCCCATTCGGCAGATCCGGGATGTGACTTTCAGAGAGCCTCGCTACTTGGATCTGTTCGACCCTAGTGTGTCAGTTGTGAGGGATCCCAAACTGGACCAGCCACAACCTGAATCCAAAAGCCGAGCCCGGAGTATCTTCAGTCGCTTTCTTTCTGCTATAGCCTCCACTAAAGTCATCATAGGTTGGTGACACCTGATATTAATACTGTAATCACAGTATTATTAATTTTTTTTAACCCAACATTCAGTGAATGCTTTATATCCAGTTTTGTTTTTTAATGAATAGATCAGAGACAATCAAGCATGTCAATTTTAAAAAAATATTTTATCAAAGTCATAAAGAATACTTGTGATCTTTAAGTATAATATTGGTAATACTAAGCCTATAACTCAGCATTTTTTTTATAGGCCAAAATAATTGGTAAATGACATGGTACTTAGCCTTGTGTAGTGAATTACTTCTTACAAATATGAAAAACCTGGATATAAAGCATTCATTGAAGGCTGGGCAAAAGAGAGAGACTCATACATCCAATATCGGCTCTGCTTCCGTAATGGTACTTGACATTTATAAGACCAAGGGTAAAACCTCTCGTAGTAGGTTAAAATGATTTTATTTTACCTTTTCACTCTATATTCTTATTATTCAGTATGTCAAAGATTACATTTGGTGAGATTGTAAGCAATATTGATATGTATGTTGGCAATGATGCATTATCACATTCAGTGACCTCATGGAACAAGCCAGCTGGTGTTAGTTATACATTATTCCTCAGCCCTCCTAGCTGAAGTTTCTGTAAATATCTTGAAGAGTGTGGCCAGCAGTAACAGCCTGGTTGATCAGGCCCTGATCCACCATGAGGCATGGTCACAGACTGGGCCGTAGGGGTGTTGACCCCTGAAATTCTCTTCAGGTATACACCAGTGTTCACCCTGAAGACGACGAACTTCACTTGATAAGAGTTAAATCCTGTTTAAACAGCTTTTGAGAGCGTGTATTTACAACACAAATTCGTACAGCTGGATGTCTGATATGGCTGTGAAAGCACTACCCGAGTCTAGTGAATGACTTCAGGTGATTTTGTCATGAAAAACTGCTGCATATCCAGTACCATCAGGATATTTAGAACAATCAGATAAATTAAGTACAGAACTTAACATTTAACTTATTTCTGTAGATTGTTATAGGAAATTGGATTTGGATTGCATAGAAAAGCTTTAATTGTATGACTGAGAGGGATCTGTATAGTACCAGTACTGTTATATTTTGAAACACGTGCTAAACCCACATGGGTCGTAGAGACCAGTACTGTACTGTTTTATAGTTGCCAGCCTCTCCTTTTTATATAATGTAGTGTTAATCATTATTTTAAACTGTTTTGTCTTGCTCTCCAGGGTGTAGCATTATTCTGGTGGTGTTGGTGGTCGTGATAGTAACTTTGGCATCTACTTCCCATGGACCATTTTTCAGCCCTGATCCCCGCATCCAGCATCCCCATGTTACCACTGTCACTACCTGTGGCCTCGTACAAGGGTACATAATTTTTTTTAGTATTTTTAACTTAGTCTTAAAACTGATATTAAAATGACTTTTTATAGCACATAATTTAGATTTTAGATATAGTGGGACAATCATAGTACTGTAAATAGATTTTTTATTTAGCTGAAAAAACTTTTAGATGTAAATATTAGTTGCAACTTACATTGCTCTGATATGAGTATATGCATGTTTGCACTTTTTGTCCTACATCATAGTGTGGATGGTGGGCTCACTTGTGAGAGTAAAGTCAAAGTTGGCACAAAAAAGCCACTTTCATAGGGCAGTTAGGATAAGGATATCAGAATGTTGGAGAGCTAGAATGAATATCAGACTTCTCAAATTGCTGGAAAAGATTAAGAAAGCCAGAGAATCAGCACCGCTTCAGAAATGGAAGTTTTTTTTGGTTACAAGCCTCATAAAGATACATAATTGAGAGGTCAGACAGGAGAGAAAGGGATGTGTCAAGAACATAGTCCTACACTAGGAAGACTTAGTACAGAAACTACATATAAGACTCTTAAACAAATAGGAGAAGCAAGCCAGGATAAAAGGTATAGTATTAGTATGGCTGAGGGAATATTTAAACACTAGACAGTAAAAACTAAACAGTGAAGCATGAGAATGGCTGTAACTAGTGAAATTTTACAAGAATAAGTATTGGGCTTCTAGGTAGTAGGTTGGTAGACAGCAACCGCCCAGGGAGGTACTACCGTTGTGCCAAGTGAGCGTGAAACGAAAGCCTGTAATTGTTTTACATGATGGTAGGATTGCTGGTGTCTTTTGTCTGTCTCATAAATATGCAAGATTTCAGGTACGTTTTGCTACTTCTACTTACACTTAGGTCACACTACACATACATGTACAAGCATATATATATACACACACCCCTTTGGGTTTTCTTCTATTTTCTTACTAGTTCTTGTTTATCTCCTCTTACCTCCATGGGGAAGTGGAACAGAATTCTTCCTCCGTAAGCCATGCGTGTTGTAAAAGGCGACTAAAATGCCATGAGCAAGGGGCTAGTAACCCCTTCTCCTGTATAAATTACTAATTGTAAAAGGAGAAACTTTCGTTTTTCCTTTTGAGCCACCCCGCCTTGGTGGGATGCGGCCGGTGTGTTGAAAGAAAGAAAAATATTGAGGGGGAAGTGCCAGACCCATAGAGGTTATAAACCACTTGGAAATTTGGAGGTAATAAAGTTTAATCTGAGAAAGGGTATAGGTAGCTCAATTTTTTTTAATCAAAGAGCCCTTCACCAGCATCTGGGCAACCCCCTTGAAGGGAAGTGGATTACAATTTGACCATTTCCAGGTCTGTAAAAGAACTCTGGAAGATTGCTGGTATTGCTATCACTACTGCATTTGAAATATTAAGTATAAAGGGCTGTATAGCATATAATTTTAAACTTTGTTTGGCTTGATAAATTACTTTGTAGATGTACCTTTTATGCAGTTTATCCTTCAAATCATGTTAATAAAAATTAATGGAATGTTTAGATTAGTTTGGAAGTGCTAAGCCCATAGAAGTCGTACAGTACCTGACGAATATAAGGCAATAAAGTTAAATTCCTTGGATCAAGAGCACTCGCCATCCTCTCCTTTGAGAGGATGGAATATTTAGACAAATGTAAAATTAGCAAGTATCCAGAAAAGCTAGATTATAGTAACTATATAAGCCTTTCAGGTTTAGTGTTTGGGTTGATAATTATAGACTATAGTAACATTTAAAAATTATACTTTCAACTTCATTCAAAGGAAATGTTGGCAAGAAAACACAGGACAAAATTCCACTGCAGTTATGCAAACTTTCTAAATAATACTATAATTTCATTGTACTCTCAAATTTAGGACTGCTCAAAGCATTGGCAACCCTCCAGTAAAGTTCTCTGATGCTAGTGAAGGGTTCTTAATCCAAGGAATTGTCCTCCCTCTCCATGAATCACACCTGACTCTCAACCAAGACTTTGTATGATCCCTGCTGGTTTAGCATTTACCCTTAAATCTGGGTAGTAGAGCATGATCCTTATATGTAGAATTACAAAGAAGCAAAATTACCAGTGATAAGTAAACCTGTAACTGCATTTTGTTGAATAATAAAAATGACAATAAAAACTATACTGTAATCTATAATGACTAATGAATCATATGCAAATTGTGGCACCGTTAGTTACAAAAGTAGAGAAGGAGATTTAATTTTTTTTCCAGCATTGTACAGGATGGTGCATATGTGTTCCGTGGGTTACCATATGCTGTTCCTCCAGTGGGCAAGTTGCGATTTCGACCGGCACAACTTCAGACTAGCTTGAATGACTGTTGGACTGGAACATATGTAGCTAATGTAACTCAGCCATGTTGGAGCTATGATAGTCAGGTATGTTTGAAAATAAAAATTTATTTATTCATTGCCCAGCTGTTTCTCCATATTGCTTTGCCCAAACATTATTTTGTTTTGCATAAACTAAATTTTAATTATTTGTAAACTGGTTGAAGGGAACAAAGAGAGCATAACTGTTTTGTAGGTAATTATCTTATGGCATTAATAAGATATCACAGCAGTAGCTGTGAATTAAAAAAAAAAACAGGACAATATCCAGTGCAATTCTTTGGTACCTTTCCTTCATGTTTATTACTTAGATGCAGTCGCATTTCTAAATGCTCTGCTTGGCTATTTCATCAGTATTAACAACCAAGTCGTATGTTAAGACAAACTTGGGTTAGTTAATTCTTACATGTAAATGTCACCCTGCCTTGGGAGATGGCTGGTGTTAATTAAAAAACTGTGACCACAGACATGAGGCATTTTAAAAGTGCTTGGCTATAGTTGCTTCAGCCAGTGTGAAAAAAAAAGTGTGAGACAGCTGCAGTTGTCATACTGTAATCTGACATTGTGACAAAAATTATATTGTATTGAAAGATCTGAACATTGCGCTGTTATATATTCAAACATACTGTAGCATTAAATTCTGCCTACTGTGTGTCTAAAGAGAAAGTTCATGCCACCTTTGCCAATATGTGAAATGGGCTGAGAGAATGCTGAAGTGTTACTAAAAGCAGCATGGATATATTGGGCATAGCCCAAGGGATTATAATCAGGGAGGGAAGTGCTTTAAACCCTAGGAGTCATACAGCATATTGAGAATCAGGGAAAGGACAGATGGGTTCACTTCCTTGAAGCAGTTGCCACTCTAGTATCAGAGCAGTTTCCTTGAGGGAATAACCATAATTAAACAGACAAGAGGTAATGGATTAGATACCAAACAGAAGTTGAGGCAACTAAAATAGTAGTTGATTGGCCTGATAACAATGTTGAATTGGCAAAGGTACACAGTGTAAACCTATTGGTGTACTGATTATGCTTAACAATAATTATATTATCAGTTTAAATCCTAATTTGTTACTAGAGATGTGTTTAAGTATTTATTTTACAAAGCAATAAAACGGCCATACTGGTTGATATTAGACATTTCGATGAATTAGACACATGTGCAACACTTGGGTATCTTTGAGGAAACGTTTCACCACACAGTGGCTTCATCAGTCCATACAAGGGAGAATGGTGAAGAACAGGAGAGTTTGAGGTGATCAGTCCTTCAGCCTTGAGTTGATGTGGTCAGTCCATCAATCTTGAAAAGAGAAGTAGCTTATATACCATAGGCAGGAGAGGTGCAGCAGTCGTAGGTGGTATCACATTTGTCCAATGTGGAATTAGGTCATGCCCAAGGGTTAGGCAAGTGAAGAATTCCCTGTATTAAGATCCCAAGATGTCGCTGTGTCAGACAGAAATGTAGATGAATGGATCAGAGAACCGACAAGTTGATGAATTCGACATGTGCAACACTTGGGTATCTTTACTGAGGAAACGTTTCACCACGCAGTGGCTTCATCAGTCCATACAAAGGAGAATGGTGAAGAACTGTATGGACTGATGAAGCCACTGTGTGGCGAAAACGTTTCTTCAATAAAGATACCCAAGTGTCAAATTCATCAATTTGTCGGTTCTCTGAACCATTCATCTACATTAGACATTTCATTGGTTAGGATTACAAAAATTTGACTGTTTTTCTTTTAAGTGAGCTTGCTTTGCAGGGAGCAGTGGTTGAGGGCTCTGAAGATTGTTTGCTGATAGATGTCTTCACACCACAACTTGGATATGACACTCCACTCCCTGTGATAGTGTATATAGGAGGAGCTAGCCTGGGTAGCGACACACTGAGACCCTGGTTACTTAGTAAAGCTGCAAGTGTTGTCAGAAGCAAAGGTGTGGTAATTTTGGCACCACAAGTTCGCCGTGGCCTCCTTGGATTCTTTCCTCATCCAAAATTAGCAGCATCAACCTACCCTCACACTGCAGGAAACCAAGGTGTGTCTGATCTATTGACAGCATTAAATTGGGTGCAACACAATGTAGAACATTTTGGTGGTGACCCAGAGCAGGTGACACTTTTGGGACATCAAGCAGGAGCTGCAATGGCATGGCCACTCGTTTCCTCACCACAAGGACACAGGTTAATTCAGTCTGCCTGGCTAACTGGCGCTGTACCTCTGCATCCAGAGATACCATGGCGTGAAGCAGACCCAGAATTGGTGGAGTCGCTGAACTGTTCCACTATAATGTGTCTTGAATCCATCCCAGCACGAACTGCAATGGACGCGCCTCCTTTAGAATGGCGACGTCCTCATGGCCACCCTTGGCTATTAGCTGATGGTGTCATTGTTCCCTTCTTCCCGTCCATGCCACAAGTGCCTCTCATGATTGGTAAGTTGCATTATTACAATCAAAATTAAGCCCTAAATCCTCAAGGGTCATACAGTGCTATTTTGTTGAATTAGAAATGTGTAAGATGACTAAGTTTATATGATACTTCATTGATTGTAGACGTGCTCAAGAATATTTTTTGTTTGTTAATAACCTTAATGGCTGTCTCCTGCCAAGGAAAGGTAACCCAAAGACAAACATTCACCATCATTCATTTGCTATCTTACCAGAAATGTGCTGATATCACAATTCAGATTGCCCTCTGACTGCCACATCCCCACTCCTTTTTCTGAGTGCAGGTATTGCCCTTTCCAACTTCAGAACTCAAGTTTGACTAACCCATTTCCCTAAATCTACTCATCATTGTTAACATGGTCACACTCCAACAGCATATCCATTAAAAACCACTAGTCTTCATTCAGTACCTGCTCTATGCTAAACCCCCTGGAACAACCTCTGCCCCTCCTACCTTCCACCCCAGATTTATACACACTGTCATCTTAATGCTCTACATCCCCTGACTTGTACCTTTCATCGCCCTCTCATCATTTTTGTTAATTTCTATGCTCTGAATTCTCTGCACGATATTCACACTACATGTTGCTCTCCACTGCCTTTAGCAGCCTCCTCGCGTAGCACTCAAAACTCGTGCTCACGCTCAAAAGTGTTGGTTCTACTTTATTCTGGTACATAATTAATTTTTCTCTGTAGATAAAATTCCACAGATGCCTCAACACCACTCTCTTTAACCCTCATCTTTTCTATGATTTACATAGTCTTTCCATCTATAATTGTTAAACAACTGTGGTGACATCATACATTCCTTTATAAATCCTACTGTTGCTGGAAAGTCTCTCTCCTACATACTTTAACCTGAGCTTTGCTCTGCATAAAATCTTTGTTAGTAACCTACCACCCATTCTATACATTGGTATTTATATTATTAATCAAATCTAAGTGCTATATCTGCAAGGGTCACATAGCACTGGCTATATATTTGTAATGTCTGCTCCCCCAGTGACCCTAAATGTATTTTTTTTAAATCCATAAATGCAACAAACTGCTGTTTACCCTTATCTAAGTACTTCACTCATATGCTTCAATATAAACACTAATCCCCTAACCTCCTTGCTCCTCTACAATCCCACTTCATCTTACCCCTAACATTTAAAAAAAATGAACCTTGTGGGTTTAGTGCTTAGTTTTGTTTACAGTAATACTGTGCATGTTTTCTGCAAGTCCTTAGCACCTTTCCTTCTTTTATGTATATGTTGAACAGGCAAACCAACCATTCCAATAATTTTGCCTACCTGCTTTTAATGTCTTAATCCTATCTATACTGGCTGCTTTACTCACTGTCTCCTGAATTTTTCCTCAACATCTGACACCAGGCTCTAATTATTATTACAAGGTATCCTTCCTTGCCCAGTGCATGAAATCACTGCTTTCCTCTCTTTATTATCATTCAACACCTCCTTAAAATAGTTCATCCATCTTTTCATACTGTACCTCTACACCCAATATCTTATTTTGAACTACATACTAAGGACATTTTTTCTCTAGACTTCACCTTGATGATCTCTCCAAAATGGTTTCTTAGGCTTATTCTCTAATTAGCTCTTATTACACTCGACTATATATTTATCATTCTTTATCTTTCGTGTGCAAATTTTTTCTACCTGATCATTGCATCATTCTTCATCACACCCATTCTCCTGTACCTACAAACTTCTGCTGCACACTGATATTGCAGTGTTTTATTACTGACAGTGCTAAACCCATAAGGGTCATACAGCACCTTAGGAATGGTAGGTAATTAAGTTTGATCTGCAAAAGGGGAGGGGTAACTATTGCTCATAACTGTTACAATCAGAACTAAGTGCTAAGCCCGCAAGGGTCATACAACTCCATTACTGATAAACATATATTTTAAATATAAATAAATTTACAAGTAGTTAAACATTGTATAATAGTTCTGATCAAAGATAAGCACATGGCATACTGTTCTGAAAACACAGGAAAATATCAACTGAGAGGGTTTTAAACACTAACAACTTAATTGTTAAATGCATTACTGTCTTTTTAAAAGTATGTCCATGTAAGCATTTTTCCTGTCCAGAAAGGTATGCAAGGTATAATTGTGATTCAGTTTAAATGATGTTTTTTTTTTTTTTTTTTTTTTTTTTTTTTTTTTTTTTATCACACCGGCCGATTCCCACCAAGGCAGGGTGGCCCGAAAAAGAAAAACTTTCACCATCATTCACTCCATCACTGTCTTGCCAGAAGGGTGCTTTACACTACAGTTTTTAAACTGCAACATTAACACCCCTCCTTCAGAGTGCAGGCACTGTACTTCCCATCTCCAGGACTCAAGTCCGGCCTGCCGGTTTCCCTGATCCCTTCATAAATGTTACTTTGCTCACACTCCAACAGCACGTCAAGTATTAAAAACCATTTGTCTCCATTCACTCCTATCAAACACGCTCACGCATGCCTGCTGGAAGTCCAAGCCCCTCGCACACAAAACCTCCTTTACCCCCTCCCTCCAACCCTTCCTAGGCCGACCCCTACCCCGCCTTCCTTCCACTACAGACTGATACACTCTTGAAGTCATTCTGTTTCGCTCCATTCTCTCTACATGTCCGAACCACCTCAACAACCCTTCCTCAGCCCTCTGAACAACAGTTTTGGTAATCCCGCACCTCCTCCTAACTTCCAAACTACGAATTCTCTGCATTATATTCACACCCCACATTGCCCTCAGACATTTACATCTCCACTGCCTCCAGCCTTCTCCTCGCTGCAACATTCATCACCCACGCTTTACACCCATATAAGAGCGTTGGTAAAACTATACTCTCATACATTCCCCTCTTTGCCTCCAAGGACAAAGTTCTTTGTCTCCACAGACTCCTAAGTGCACCACTCACTCTTTTTCCCTCATCAATTCTATGATTCACCTCATCTTTCATAGACCCATCCGCTGACACGTCCACTCCCAAATATCTGAATACGTTCACCTCCTCCATACTCTCTCCCTCCAATCTGATATTCAATCTTTCATCACCTAATCTTTTTGTTATCCTCATAACCTTACTCTTTCCTGTATTCACCTTTAATTTTCTTCTTTTGCACACCCTACCAAATTCATCCACCAATCTCTGCAACTTCTCTCAGAATCTCCCAAGAGCACAGTGTCATCGGCAAAGAGCAGCTGTGACAAACTCCACTTTGTGTGTGATTCTTTATCTTTTAACTCCACGCCTCTTGCCAAGACCCTCGCATTTACTTCTCTTACAACCCCATCTATAAATATATATTAAACAACCACGGTGACATCACACATCCTTGTCTAAGGCCTACTTTTACTGGGAAAAAATTTCCCTCTTTCCTACATACTCTAACTTGAGCCTCACTATCCTCGTAAAAACTCTTCACTGCTTTCAGTAACCTACCTCCTACACCATACACTTGCAACATCTGCCACATTGCCCCCCTATCCACCCTGTCATACGCCTTTTCCAAATCCATAAATGCCACAAAGACCTCTTTAGCCTTATCTAAATACTGTTCACTTATATGTTTCACTGTAAACACCTGGTCCACACACCCCCTACCTTTCCTAAAGCCTCCTTGTTCATCTGCTATCCTATTCTCCGTCTTACTCTTAATTCTTTCAATTATAACTCTACCATACACTTTACCAGGTACACTCAACAGACTTATCCCCCTATAATTTTTGCACTCTCTTTTATCCCCTTTGCCTTTATACAAAGGAACTATGCATGCTCTCTGCCAATCCCTAGGTACCTTACCCTCTTCCATACATTTATTAAATAATTGCACCAACCACTCCAAAACTATATCCCCACCTGCTTTTAACATTTCTATCTTTATCCCATCAATCCCGGCTGCCTTACCCCCTTTCATTTTACCTACTGCCTCACGAACTTCCCCCACACTCACAACTGGCTCTTCCTCACTCCTACAAGATGTTATTCCTCCTTGCCCTATACACGAAAAACACAGCTTCCCTATCTTCATCAACATTTAACAATTCCTCAAAATATTCCTTCCATCTTCCCAATACCTCTACCTCTCCATTTAATAACTCTCCTCTCCTATTTTTAACTGACAAATCCATTTGTTCTCTAGGCTTTCTTAACTTGTTAATCTCACTCCAAAACTTTTTCTTATTTTCAACAAAATTTGTTGATAACATCTCACCCACTCTCTCATTTGCTCTCTTTTTACATTGCTTCACCACTCTCTTAACTTCTCTCTTTTTCTCCATATACTCTTCCCTCCTTGCATCACTTCTACTTTGTAAAAACTTCTCATATGCTAACTTTTTCTCCCTTACTACTCTCTTTACATCATCATTCCACCAATCGCTCCTCTTCCCTTCTGCACCCACTTTCCTGTAACCACAAACTTCTGCTGAACACTCTAACACTACATTTTTAAACCTACCCCTGTTTATAAAATAATTTACTTTTGACTTTAAATTGTACTAAACCACCATCAGATGCTTAAATTTTTTTTCTCCAGGATCAACTGAACAGGCAGCTGCGAATAATTTGTTATCGTGGCAGGAACGTCTTGGCACCTCACACCAACAGCTTGTTGATGCAGTAGTAGATGGTCTGCGACTGAATGAATTAAATTATGGTCAGCCAGTGTGGTCAGGGAGTCCACAATATAGTGGGATTAATTGGCCAAGCTCTCTAGGTAACCAAGATACATGGTCAAAAGAACCTGGACATAATAAAGGCAGGTGGCCTCAGCCTCCAAGAAATAATGAGAGGGGGTCAGAATTAAACAGTTTTGTGACAGGCTCGTCTGAGGCAGAAACAGCTTTGGAATGGTATTCAGATTTGAAAGATGATTCTTGGCTACTCCTCACCACATTAGTATCTGATGCCACTGTTACATGTCCTACCCTATCCACTGCTACAAGACTTTCAAGGACCCTCTCCCGTGCTCATCCTACTGGGACTGAAGATGTACCTGTTTACGCTTATGTGTCACGCCATGCTCGGGTTAGCCGTGCTGGGGCTGTGGCAGATGGATTGTCTGATATAGAGTCAATTTTAGGAGTATTTCAGCCTCGAGATGAAAAGGACGTCCAGTATGCCCGCACTATCCAGGACTTATTTTTTTTCTTTGTGAATTACGGCTCTCCAGATTGGCACTCGGCAACACCTGCCCATCTTGGAGTATACACGATAAATGGAGTGACAAATGTAGAACGTTCAAGACTTCAGTGTGAACACTGGGCAAATGCCTCCCAGTTTTTCAGAAGGTTTTAGTAACTGCCAAAGAGTAGTGAAGAATTTACACCAATTTATTTTTTAAACATTGTAAAACAGCTTAAGTCCTACCAACTTTTTGGTTTAACAATCACTTGCATTTAGTTTGCATTTTTCTCATTTAAGTGTTCTGTTCTACAGAGAAAACTAATTTATTTTTTCAAGAACTATAATTTATTAATTGGTGTATTCTTTAAGGCAAAACTAGCTTTATTTAAATTACCAAAGTGCCTTTGATAAGATACATGTCTCCTTGTGGGCCAATCTACAGTTTCATAAAAGATTGCTGCCTTAACTTGGTAATAACTATACCGAGTCTTAATACCAATGATATAGTACCTACCTCAGGAAGGTTCTCTAGGTAATCATTGGGATAATGGCTTGCAATGTGTGTGTTGCACAGATGTTGACTTGAGAAATCTTTGATTTTCTTTAGCATAGGAAATAAAATGACTACTGTACTGCCAAACAATACAACACTGCCACATTGCCTCTGATCTCATTGTGACGAGTAGTGCAGGAACTCAGTCTTTCAGCAGCATCTGTCAAAAGCCAAAAATAATGAGCTAAGTTCTTGGATGACAGTTGGCTGCTTCTGTGGGTTAACATCAGGTTTATATGTAGAATCTTAAGTAATATTTTGTTTATATATACAACCTTAATTACTGCAGTTAAATTAATTTACATAAACATAATATTTTTACTTAATGTACATTTGATAATTGTTTCTTGCACACTATTTGGTAAAGTAAACCCCATATTAAAAGATGCTCTTGATTTATACAAAGAATCATTTAACAGATATAGATAAGGACAATCATTTCTAATTTGAGCCAGTAGTATAAATCTGTCAACTAGCCACCAATAAACTCTACAAATGTTTAATCCAAATGACGTACTGCTGACAACAGAAGAGATGTGATGCAGAAGCTGTTATTGGGACACTTTTTCATTGTGAAGAACTATCAAATCGTACAGAAAATAAAAAATACTGTACACATATACAGTACATATACTCCCAGGAATGGGTAGAAGCAGGTAAGAACTCTGCGGAGATTAGGCATGTGAAATCACAAAAGCGTGACAAATTATGGACTGATCTAGCAGGTGCAGTGTTGCCAGGTTTCTGGTTCGTATGTTTATCCCTTTGAGTATTACTAAAATTGTCCTCGTAATGTGTGCAAGTGCTTTGGCTAAATTAAATGCTGTTGCTTTCAAGTGTCCCATGTACTATAATTTAAAAAAAAAAAAAAAAGCTACATCATTTGGTACTGTGTCTTTGATAATAAGTGTGGCATACTGAGATGCCATAAGGTGTTACCTTGAGCTGTGCACAAATTTTTGTTCATTCCTACAATTATTATTATCAAAAAGAAACGCTAAACCACAAGGGCTATACAGCGCTGCAGGGCAGGAAGGAAGCGAGGGTATCAGGTGGCAAAAGGGAGATGGACGAGTAATAGGTTACGGAGAACAGCGGGGCAGTGGATGGTGAAAGGGTAGAGGGCAGCAAGAGATTGAGGTAGAAAGGGCTGAGGGGAGTGCGAAAGGTACCATCATCAGAGTTTGTGGAGTAAATCAGTCATTGTCAAGAAGTCAATGAGAGTGTCAGGATTAAAGGAGGGTCCATCAGCAAGAAGGGAAGGTAAAGAGAGTAGTAGTAGAGCGGAGACGACGATGGAGGTAAATTCTGCGTGCTCGTTGATAAAGAGGGCAGACAGAATGTGGCTAATCGATACTGGAACTCGACACTGCTCACAGAGAGGAACAGGGTGCCTCTCCATGAGATACCCATGAGTAAGAAGAGTGTGGCCAATACGATGGCGAGAGAGAGTAGTCTCCCAACCTCGGCACTGATGACAAGACGACGGCCAGTAACCTATGCTCGGTTCAATAGAATGAAGTTTGTTACCGAGTAGAGTTGACCAACGTTGCTGCCAACGGGTGTGAAGGTGGGTAGCTATTACAGCAAAATAGTCTGGAAATGGAACACCTCTATATGAAATTGGTAGGTCATGTACTGCTGACCGCGCAGCAGTGTCTGCCTGTTCATTGCCCTGTACGTCAACATGACCAGGGACCCAACAAAAAACAATATCTTTATGCTTGGTAGAGATATGGCATAGCCAAAGTTGGATACAGAGAACTAGGGGGTGAGGTGTATCAAATTTCCGTATAGCCTGTAGAGCACTAAGGGAGTCTGAGACAGCCATAAATGATGACACGGGCATAGATGCGATACGAATAAGTGCTGCAAGAATGGCATACAATTCAGCAGTAAAAATGCTAGCTGAAGACAGTAAATGCCCTCGCACGACTGTCCGGAAACAGTGCTGCGAATCCGACGCCGTCAGAAGACTTAGAGCCATCTGTGTACACTGTGATGGCATGAGAATGAGAGTAGAAGTGGTCAAGAAAAAGAGCGGGAGGCCACCGTAGGCAGTTGGGCTTTCGAGCAAGGGAGTGAGAAAGAACAGACTCGAACAGCTGGAACTTCCCAGGGGCGTAGGGAAAAGTGAGATGCTACATGAACATATAAAGGCGGTAACTGAAGGGAAGACAAGAGCGAATGTAGGCGAAAAGAGAAGGGACGGAGCAAACAAATAAAGAATGTCCACTAATATCGGTGACCATTCTATAAATGGAAGGATTGTAGAGATCGTGAGAGCATACGTTGTAGCGAAGGCAATGGGCATCACAGCGATCAGACAAGGATGGAACATTCGCTTCTGCATAGAGGCTCTCAACAGGGGAAGAACGAAAAGCACCAAGGCAAAAACGTAATCCTTGGTGATGAATGGGGTTAAGGCTAGAGAGAGTAGCAGGAGAGGCCGCTGAATAGATCTGGTCACCATAATCGAATTTCGATAAGATGAGGGCTGAATGTTGGCGAAGGAGAGTTCGACGATCAGCTCCCCATGAAAGATGAGCAAGGGTTTTAAGAAGGTTCAGCCGGTTGTGACAGGTTGCCTTCAGAGATGTAATGTGACGTTTCCAGGATAACCTATGGTCAAAGAGAAGGCCTAGAAACCTGACTATCACGTTCAGGGATACGGGAGCCATAGAGGTACAAAGGATGATCGGAGATGACAGAGCGTCTAGTGAAAGTAATTTGGTGGGTTTTAGTGCTGGAAAATTTAAACCCATGCATGGTGGCCCAATTGGAAACACGGTTGACCGCATGCTGGAGAGAAACTGTAATGAGGCGACAGTCAGCACCTGCACAAGCAATAGCGAAGTCATCAACATAGTGATGACCAAATATTGGATGGAAGAACAGAGGCCAAATCATTTATTGCAAGGAGAAAAAGTGTTGTGCTCAGAACACATCCCTGGAGGACACCTTCAGCTTGGACAACGTCCGGGGAGAGCACATTATTTACCCGAACACGGAAATGTCTGTCAGTTAAAAAGTTCTTAAGGAAGGATGGTAGATTGCCTCGGAAGCCTAAGGAGTGGGCTTGGGCCAAAATATTATACCTCCAAGTTGTGTCATATGCCTTCTCAAGGTAAAAAAATATGGCAATAACTGAGTGGTTATTCACAAAGGCATTACGAACATGCGTATCCAAGCGTAGTAAGGGGTCTATGGTAGATCGGCCCTTATGAAAGCCATATTGGCTAGTGGAGAGACTTGTGTGTGTCTAAATACCACATTAAACGTCGATTTACCAGACGTTCCATCACTTTGCAAACTGCACTAGTAAGAGCAATGGGACGATAGTGGGAGGCATCATGTCCCGTAGTACCCAGCTTGCAGAAAGGGAGAACAATGGCAGATTTCCACAGCTGGGGAAGAACTCCTTGTGACCAAATAAGATTGAAGAGGTGCAAGAGGACTACAAGGGCTGACTGATGTAAATGTTGTAACATCCGAATATGAACGCTGTCAGGCCCAGCTGCTGATGATCGGCAAGCTGAGTGTGTTGCCTCCAGGTCCCGAAGTGTAAAAGGCACATTATACTGTTCTTCTCTGAGAGAAGAAAAGTCCAAGGGTACTAACTCTCTGGCAGACTTTGAGGAAAGAAACGAGGGGCATAGATGGAGCCCCCCGGGGAATACGGACCAGATGAGTGCCAATTTCAATGGCAACGTCAAGAGGGTTTGCTATATCAACACCGGCGACCCGTAGAACAGGAGAGTATTTACCACTCAATTTCCTCACTTTTTTCCAGACTGCACTCAGAGGAAGCAGAGGTGATGGTGGAAACAATCTCGCCAGCAAGTGTGTTTAGTATCATGGATGACACAGCAAGCGATTGCACACTTCTGCTTAAAATCAAGAAGTCTCTCATCGGTTCTATTGTACCGGTACCTGCCCCATGCAGCGCATTTCAAACGTACTGCACGAGCACAAGCAGGAGACCACCAAGGCACACACTTCTGAGAATGCCTGCCTGAAGTTTGGGGTATAGAACGAGAAGCTGCGGTTAAAACTGATGTCGAGAAGAGGTGTAGGAGCTCATCAATGGAGGATGAAGAAGGAACCTTACTAAAAGCAGTGAGTTGCGAGTAAAGGTCCCAATTTGCCTGATCAAATTGCTAGCGAGGGCTACGGAAAGGTGGTGAATATGAAAGAGAAGTAAGAATGATTGGAAAATGATCGCCGTCATGTAAGTCTGGTAGAACAGACCAGGCGAAGTCTAGTGCAGTGGAGGAAGAGCAGACCGATAGATCGATGCAAGAGTGTGTATGAGTATGAGGATCAAAATGGGTGGGAGTACCCGTATTTAAAACATGGAGGGAGGCGAGAAAAGCCTCCAACTGGATGCCACATGAGTCACAATGAGACATCCCCCCCAGAGGAAATGGTGGGCATTAAAATCACCAAGTAACAGAAGTGGTGGTGGTGGTAAGGATGAAACAAAGGAAAAATCTGGAATAGAAAATGCTCGAGGAGGAGAGAGATGTAAAGAACATATTTTAAACCACTTATTCAAGTGGATACGGGCTGCAGTGTAATGCAGCGAGGTATGGACAAATAGTTGACAGTATGGAATATCATTGCGTAGAAGAAGGGTGCTTTCATTAAAGGTCCCATCTGAGAAAGGATCCGAAGAATACAATAAATTATAGCCTGAGATAGGTTGGGAAACTGAGTGTAATTTGGGTTCCTGTAAGCAAACACCAACAGGGAAAAACCTGGAAAGCAACATCTGAAGCTCGCCATGATTGGCAATGAGGAAAATACCAGGAATCCGTAGGGAAGGGCACCTACAGACTAGAGGGGTTAGAAAAGTCAACGTGCGGTGGCATCGGAAGAGGTTCAAGCAGCAAAGGAATGGAGCGTTGCGAAGAATGGAGTTCTGGAGATGGAGGAGAGGGAAGAGAAGGAACAGGAGGTGGATCAGTGTCCATTGAAGGTTTAGTCTCTGCAATGTATTCTGAAATGGCATCTAGTGTTTCTGAATTCAAAGACGTATGGGAGACAATATTGGAGGTAGAAGGAGGAGGGTGAGTAAAGATTGGGACAGTAATGGACTGTACCCAAGTAGGGGGGGACGAAAGAGTGTAGGGGACTGTGGGAGGGGACAGAAGAGGCAGAAACCTGGGAGGTGGCAGAAGCGGGAGAAACTAGGGAGGGGACAGGGGTGAAAGGCATAGTATGAGGAGGAGGGTGAACCTCCACACTTGTAATAGAGCCAGAGAGAGGGGAAGAACTAGGCACAGAGACTGGAAAGGTAAAATGCAGAGGTGGAAGAAGGGAAGGAGGGGGCAAAGATGATTTGAGCAATGGGGATTTTTTTGACTTCTGAGAAGTAGAGGGGTGGTTGGTATAAGGTGTCGTACGAGGTCTTGTCGATACTGGGGCTTGTGAGGAAGGATGTGATGATGTGAGAACAGACCGAGGTGTTGTAGTAGGGATGTCAGAGCCCAGGACAGCAAAAGAATTAGATACCGGAGTGGCTATGGGAGGGGTAACCACAGAGGAGGCTGCAGAAGTTGGGACCCCAGAAGTGGAGGGACGTTTTGAAACACGAGAATAAGAAACACTGGGTAGTCTCCCATGGAGGCGGAGATGAGAAACTGCCATAGCATAAAGGAGACCTTCTGCCTCTTTGAGGCAACGGATTTCACACTCATTTAAATAGACCTGGCAACGGCGAGAGTACGAAGGGTGAGCCTCATGGCAATTAAGGCAAGAGGGAAGTCGACTGCAAGACTTATTAGAATGGTCGTCCGCACCATAGACTGGGCATTCGGCTATAGATCTGCAATATTTCGCTGGGTGACCAAAATGCCAGCAATTTCTACACGGTTGCGGTGTAGGGATCACCTTTCGAACTTGTAACCAATGTCCCGTGACATAAACAGAGGGCGGGAGTTCACGGCTGTCGAAAGTCAATCGAGCCACATTGCAAGGATATCGTCTCCGCCCGCGGGCAGGAAGGACACAAGTGTCTACTTTGAGGATTGGGAGATCCTGGAGTTCCAGTTGTTCAAGAATGTCATTGCCACATGTCTGGAAATTCTGTTGGACTATGGTATGGGGCAGAATGACAGTACCACTACAAGAATTGAGAGAGATGTTTTTCAATAGTGATAGGAGTAGTATCGATATGCAAAAGGAGATAAAGCTTGGGTAGCATTCTGGACAGTGACAATGCACGTACCGCTCTTGAGATCATGAAATGAAATATCTGTACCAACATGGCGTAGGAGCGCTTTGCCAATATACTATGGTCAGAAAGATAGGCAGTAGAAGAAGTCGGTCTTAAAGAATTTAGTCCATTGTGTGGTCCGAAACAGTGTGGAGAGGGAGTGCATGTGTCGGTCTTTTCCGAGTAGAATGGAAGGTAACGAAGTAACATCATCAGGAGCTTGTCGTTGGTGTTTAGAAGTGGGATTAGAGTTGGTCAGACGTGGGACGGGCTGGCGATTCGAAAATTGCCACACTGTAGAGGGAGAGGCCGGAAGCATAGTCAAAGGAGGGCAGAGGTCAGACAAATCGGAGGAGTCAGTCGAGACCCTGGTACCTGAAGCTGGTGATGAAACAGCACCAGCAAGAGGTACAGGGGCATCAGGAGTGTCCAAAGAGTGGTCAAAAAAACGAGGCAGGGTCAGAACGGGGTGCGATATCAGTAAGGGGCCTGGGGGTAGCAGGTTCATGGCTTAGGGCTTCCATGGTTAGGTTACTTCTTTCTTCTTGTTTTTAAGAAAAAAAAAGAAAAGAAAAAGGGGAAACGGGGAGGAATAGTTCCTAGGAGGAATGAAAGGGCTGGAAATCACCCTCCCCGCCCAAGAGGACCTCAACACCACAAGTAGTGCAGATGCGGCATGGAATCCATGCCATACCCTACCCTTCATGCCAGTAAACCAGCAATCCAGGATAGCAACCTCACATCTGCCGAGCTACCTCGGTGGACAAAAGAGAGGGCGGCCAGATATCCGCCACAAAGCATACCTCCTTTGGCCACCACCCCCGGAATCCGAAAGGTGGCCTCCAGAGATGCACCCATCGCCTGAAAGACACCCCCCCCCCCCCGGAAGACCGGAGAGGGAACGGGATATCCCCAGGCAATCCAGATTCCAGGCAAACTACACCACCGCCAAGAACCTCAACGGAATGGGATTGACCCCGGTACCCTTTCCCCTACCTAGGAACCAGTAGGCCTGTGGGAAGAATCCCAAAGACCAAAAAGAGGAAGGGAATAAGGGAGGGAGGAGGAGGAGGAAAGGAAAAAGGGAGGATGGGATAGGGAAGGGGGAATTGGGGGGGTAATTAGGTTCGGTCTGAGGAAGGAGACCAACAGGTCTAATTCCTCAGACCAAGAGCCTGTTCACCACACCAAGGAGCCCCTCTTGAAGAGGATCCCAGATGAAGAGTTGCATGGTGATGCCACATTTCTCTCAAGTATTTGGGGCTGCAAATCTCACCAACTCTCAGAAAGCTCCCACTTAAAATTCCCCAATTTAATTATGATACGAGAAAACTAAACATGGAGTTGATTTTTTTTTTTCTAAGAGCCTATGTGGTACATAGCCCTGAATACTTGAGGAATGTGGCATTAGTAACTTTCCCACACCTCACTTGCCTTCACACTCTTTCAGAACTGAAGATAAAGGGCCCACAAAATCCTTTGTACACCTAGACAGCAAAGGTTGCAACAAACTCATTTTTTCTCCACACAGGTGCTGTATAGTCCTTGTGGCTTAGCGCTTGACTCAAGAAATCGTAATGACACGATTGCAAATAAACCATACCCCCGGCCGGGATTGAACCCGCGGTCATAGAGTCTCAAAACTCCAGCCCGTCGCGTTAGCCAAATAGACCAGCTAGCCACAATAATCTTATTGTGGCTAGCTGGTCTAGTGGCTAACGCGACGGGCTGGAGTTTTGAGACTATGACCGCGGGTTCAATCCCGGCCGGGGGTATGGCTTAGCGCTTCTTTTTGATTATAATAATAATAATCTCCACACAGGTAAAACTGCAGATTGTTACATATGTATTAAAAAAAAAATGGAACAAATGCTGCAGTCATTGCCTCCAAAATCATTCAAGACTCGCTGGAACAGGACAACACGAGTGCCAGAGTATAAAGTCTTTTCTCTAGTGGTTGTAATACAATACATACACTGGTGAGTCATTCACTTGCTTACACTAATAACCAGAATTCAAGAACAATATGCATGCAGTACACAGCAGGTAGTACTCAAAGATGTAAGATTCATTTAGATAAACACACCAGCACAACATGACAGTCACTTTAATTTGTATACAAACACTATTTGAACTGAAGGTGCATTTAGCTCTGCCAAACCATTTGAAACTTGTATTACAGGAACAGTTTTGGCTATAGTTATATATGAATGGGTAATATGTGCTGGCCAGAAGTATTTACATAGTGCCACGTGCTCACAATTTGTTCGAATTATTTCATGTTCCTTGTCAACAGTGTTCACATCTACCTCTCCTTACAGGACAATATATATATATGCATGTGTGACTTAGTAAAGTTCTAGAAATTGAAAAAATGGCTCAATAAAAGCTTGTTCTGCAGTGTCTCTTCTTCACATGTAAATTTTTTTTTTTTTTTTTCAAAAAATTGATTTCTTACAATGTATAATAATCTTGTAGGTAACTCATATTGAGATTATGTAAATGAAGGCTAAACTTTTGTTTATATACATATTTCATTAATAAAGTTCTTAATGGGACAAAAAACTGCAACCAAAATAATGTCCCAGCTAAGAACCAAAATTTACTGACCTGTGATATACCTTGTTTTGTACAGGAATAAATACTGTTGATTGATGGATTTTTTATTTCACTGCCTTTTTAATATATATTCAAATTAAAGGTGGTACAGTAGTAGTAGGAGTTTAAAAAAAAAAAAAAAAAAAAAATGGGCTTCTTAATTTTTTGACCTTTTACACTTCAAAGCCCTGTAATGATTTTTTAATGCCTATTTTTCAGGCACTAAATGAGGCAGCAAGAAATTGTGGTAATCAAACCGTAATCATGTTTTTGAGCCTTAATTACAAATGAGGGCATTATTATTATTATATTAATGAGGGGTGTGCTCATGGGAATAGTATGCAGGTCCAATTTCTTGGAATAAGGGCTCAAAATCTTAAGTTAATATTAACCCTTCAGGGTTGGTGCCGTACTAGTACGCATAAATTCTAGTGCCTTCAAATCTAACGAGACAAAGCTGGTAGGCCTACATATGAAAGAATAGGTCTATGTGGTCAGTGTGCGCAGTATAAAAAAAAATCCTGCAGCGCACAGTGCATGAGAAAAAAAAAACTTGGACTGAGTTTTTGGTTTAAAACAGCGACTTTGCAGTGTATTTTTGTATGCTATTTATGGTTGTATTCTAGTTTTCCTGGTCTCATTTTATAGAATGGAAGACATATTATCGAAATTGAGATGATTTTGATTGGCAAAAATCGAACATTCCAAGGTACTTTTCATTGTGAAACCAAAGTTCAAACAAACAATTCATGCCACGCATCCAATACACAACAACTGGTGAGTCTAATATTCTTTCACAAGTGCGCTGATATTATTTACACCATATCTACACGAATGCAGTAGTCTGCATAACATAAATCTATTTTTTTTTGTGTGAATAAAAATTCAAAGTTGAAAGCAAAAATGTAGCAGAGGCCTGGGGACGTGTGTGTAATCAACAGAGGAAATGTTATTTTAGTGCCAGGAACGTCTGTCTTGTTTATTCTGGACCCTATTTGGAAATTGGCATCTTTTGAAATTTGTGTGAAACTGGCAAAATTGCCAATTTCTGATCACGTTATTGGTTAGTTGAAATCGGTAGATGGGTGGTTTCTTGTACTCATTCGATAGACAAAATGGAGTTCTAGATAAATAGGTATGATTTTTGTCAACTGGTACAAAATCACCGATGCATAAACATCGTTGAGACGCTAACTTCACGAGAGCATAATTCCGTAAGTTTTCCATCAAATTTCATACTTTTGGTGCCATTATGATCGGGAGAAGATTCTCTATCATTTCATAATAAAAAATCATTTTTTTTTCGAAAAATTTCCGACCCTGAGAACAGGTTCAGGAGAGGGCCTGCCGACCCTGAAAGGGTTAAGCCTTTTTATCAATGGTAACTAATTGTCAGTTTTATAATGGGAGATAAGGGCAGCTATTTTAATTAGGTCTGTCAAAGTTAAAACACTTAAAGATTTAGGGCTCATCAAAAGTTCCTTATGCCAGTAAGGGGCTCTTGATCCAGGGAACTGAACCTGACCTCTCCTTGGATTAATCTGATTGCCTCCCATTCCCTAGTTGCAGCACGATCCCTACGAGTTTAACTCTTCCCTCATGAATGTAACAATATGAATAGTTGTTACTGCTGTACCCTTAAAGAAGCCGTAATGCTGGTGAAGGACTCTGAAATTCAGAGAACTGGAACTATTCTACTTTCTAGAACAAAACCTGACTGTCTCCCACTCGCAGGTGCTAAATGATCCCTTTGGAGTCAGCACTTTCCAATATATTACTGCTACATGTATATATAACTTTCTATAATAAGTGGTACAGCAAGCTTTCTCTTATCTGAAACTTAAACAAATGACAAGGACTGCCAAAAGAAATACACTGTACAGTAGAAGTCCAATAAAATGGACCCCCATAGAGTGGATGTTGGATAAAAGGGACAAAAAACGTGGCTAGACAAAGGCTCAACATGAACGTTTAATGGAGTGTCTGATTAAAATAGCCATGAAGCGGACCAAATCCACTATACTGAATAGCAGTCCAGTCAGTTTCTTTTTTTTTTTAACACGTCGGCTGTTTTCCCACTGAGGTAGGGCGACCCAAAAAGAAAGGAAAAACTTTCATCATTCAACACTTTCACCATCACTCATACATAATCACTGTCTTGGCAGAGGTGCTCAGATATGACAGTTTAAACAGGTCTCCAAACTGCCAATATCCTAAACCCCTCCTTTAATGTGCAGGCATTGTACTTCCCATTTCCAGGACTCGAGTCCAGCTAACCAGTTTCCCTGAATCCCTTCACAAAATATTACCCTGCTCACACTCCAACAGCTCGTCAGATCCCAAAAACCATTCATCTCCATTCACTCCTATCTAACATGCCCATGAACACTTGCTGGAAGTCCAAGCTCCTTGCTCACAAAACCTCCTTTACCCCCTCCCTCCAGTCTGGTCATATGTTCAATAAAATGGTTCAACTCAGCTTAACTGTAAGCTTGTACAGTCTAAGCTTTGTCCATTTTCACTGTGGTGGTAGAGACAAAGTCTTTTGTGTCCATCTGGAAATCATGTTACCAGAGACTAACTTCCTTCTGCAAAATGGGGAAGGGGGAAAAGAAACGCATGCTTGCATTGGTTTTTTCTTTGTCTGGTCATGTCATCAATGCAGTGGACTAAATCTGTTTTATTGGATATTTGTCCATGTCTGGTAGTCAATTAAGTGAATTACGTTGGCTTAACTGAAAAGTTCAATATAATGTAATTTTTGGTAAATCAGACACCCCCTCCCCCTTTTAGTTTGGGAAGGGATGGGCTGAAGCCCATAGTAATTATGCAGCACCTGGGTAACCCCATAGTAATCATGGAGGACCTAGGTAACAAGAGGCAATCAGGTTTTATCCAAGGAAAACACTTGAAATGAGCTTCATAAAAGAAAAGAAAAATGAACACACCGTCATGTGAAGAACTTGCAGTCCTGAAGTCTAGGGGCGTAGATGGCTATGATTCAATCCATCCTTGGTTAATCAACATCTAGTGGTCTGAAACATCTCATTCGATAAATGGGTAATCCAGCAGGATTACAAAGTGGTCAAAGTAATAGGCATTGGCACACAAGCTTCCCACCACGCACTGCCCCTCGCCCACACTGCTGACCATTGCTTGTTCATGTAGGCCGAGGAGCATAATTTTGAACTGCTAATATACACTAATTTTCAGAATGTTAATGCTGATAAGTTTTCCTCAGGATAGTAATTAAACATGGTGTGCTTCAATTCAGCATGACACATGCATCATGAAGATGAAGAAAAAGAGGAGCAAATCCTGATATGTCAAAGGGTTTCACTATTAATTCAGCAGAAACAAACTTGCATCAAAAACTGTAAAGTAGAAAAAGTACTATGAGTGCAATACTTCAAAAATCAACATCAGCATAAATTTGATCACAAATTAAAATAAAAAATAAGCTACTGAAAATGATTATCTGAGATTAGTATCAAGTACAGTCATCCCTACAAATTCACAGGTTTCTGTATTGAGACAAATTTTTCAAAGATTTTACTGAAGAGCAACCAGAGAATAGATACAATTATCCAAAGCTTTTTTGGCTCAAGTTTTCCATGCCCAAATATTGCTTTTATTCTGGTCATTGTTTCTTAGGAATGTCAGTGTAAACCAAATTATATCTCTGTAAATTTTACTCTAGTCTCTTGAAATACAAAATGAATCCAAATCTGAAACAGGATTTTTTCTGCAGATTTAAGTTTTTCTACTTTTACAGGGTCTCTAATAATGTAACCTGCCAATCTGTAGGAATGACTACAGTGTGAAAGGCCCTACTTACAAAACATGACAAATTGCTATATAAATGGTTTTTCCATCTGTACTGGGGAATACATTCCTTTTGTTGGGAGAATTAGGAATATCCAAAACAAGACTGAAAAGATCAACAGATTTAAATAACATGACCCTCATATTAAGCCATCTGGTGACCATGCATCTGCTGATCAGGGTGCTGTTGAAAATTATTTGGACAGATTTACTAGCTTGGTCAAAGAGCACGATTTAAATGCTGAACAAACCTAAAATGACAGATGGATTTATTCAGGAGGATTTGTATGAAGCACTCCATGAGACTGTTTGAAAAAAAATCCAGGAAGTTTTATTGTACTGACATGCAAAATTCAGCAGGCACAGAAGTGTCATTTACAAGGTTGAGGTAAAAACCCACAAAACGTCGAGGATTCCAAAACAAAACTATTACATATATGAAGCATACCTTAAAGGCTTAATTATAAATTAACTTGCTATCTAATAGTTTCAATAAGCATTCTGTGACTGCAGCTAGACATCACTGGAATGGGAATTTTATTAATGCCAGTGTAAATCAAAACCAACTACTGTACACTACAGTACATTAATCCCATTATACCCCTCAAGGAAGGTTCCTTGATGTTGGTGAGGGGCTCTTGATTTAGGGAATTGGATCTGTGCTCCAGTTCCCCGAATTAAGCCTGAATGCCTTCCACATCCCCCCCCCCCAGGCACTGTATAATCCTCCGGGTTTAGCGCTTCCCCCTTGATTATAATAATAATAATAAAATCCCATATATCTTATGTTTAGGAAAGAATACTAAAAGTACTACACATTTATATTTTTTATTTTAGTTTTTAACAATTTCATATAGTGTATGTAGTGTCACATTAAGCAATGTCTGGTGTTACACAAAGTAAAATAATCAACTACAATTCTAGTACAGTACTATACACTACTCTCATTAAATAAAACTGTATATATTTTATTTTATAAAAATATTCATGGATACCAGCTCCATAACTTATGTCAATAAATAGGTATAATCAGTGTATGTACAGTATAAAATTATATGTGTGTGTGTGTGTGTGTGTGTACCTACCTATAATTACTTTCCTATATGGGGTTACAGGAGTTGAATCCAGCTCCTGTCCCTTCCACTCAACTTACTGCTTGCCAAATTCATTCCCTCCTAACTTCATGGGTCCTATCTTACCTACCCTTGAAATTACATATGGAACCTGTCTCCTCTACTTCATCAATGTCATTCCACTTACCAACCACCTGATACTGAAGAAATACTTCCTGACAATGCAACAACTCATCTATGTCTAACTTCTAGCTATGTACCCTAAGTACCTGTTTCTTGACCTCTCCAACAGCATATCCTTGTCTACCCTAGCAATTTCCTCCAAGTAATTTACGTGTATATGTCATGTCTACCCTAGTTTTACTGTCCTTGGATTCAATCCTGTTAGCCTCCCTCTGTAGCTCATATCCCCTTAGCTCTGGGACAAGCTTGACTGCATACTTTTGCACTTTCTCCAGTCTATTAACATGTATACATATGCTGCAATACTCCAAGACTGGCCTGATATATTTTGTATAAAGAGCCTGGAGTGACTTTTGTTGAGATTCCTTGAGACTACTCTTAAGATCTGTCAGACAAGCATTAGCTGCAGAGGTTATTCAGCTGATGTGAGCCTCTGGCAATATACCAGGCATTATACTAACCTGTATGTTGTTCTCAGGGTGAAGTTGGAGCCTCTGGCCCCCAGAGTCTATACTCTTATGATCTTTTGGCCTCTTCCCCAATCTTCATAACCTTGAATTTGCTGGGGTTGAATTCAAGCAACCACTTAATTGACCAATCTTCTTGTTTGTCCAGATCCACTGGCAGTCTTTATCTTTCCTCTTCTGTTTTTATTCTCCTCAGTTTTACATGTATGTGAAATACATATATATATGCATATACATACGAATGAACGTGCACACATACATATATACACATTATACATACATATACAACAAAAAAATATTTACACTAGTTAATTTTCTAAATTATTATGGCAATGGAGAACTGCTGCAATACAATCTTCAATAACGTACTCAGTGAATTTGAACAAATTTCTTTAGCAACTTTGAAAAATAATCTGGGCAACCTTCATGACTATACAGTATCTCTGGCTTATAGTACACATTTAGAATTTCAGTGGTATTTGTGTTGTAAAACCATAGGTTCATGCCAGAAAATATTTGACTACAAACTAACAGTAGTAGCAGTAATTTGTTACAGTTATTCCACCTGACATACAAATTTATTAATATAAAATTTTACTCCTCTGGACTTCTCGGTATTCGTGAAAGTGGTACTGGATGACCTTTTGAAAACAAGATGCGAGCATAATTTGAAATGTTGAAATAATAGTGGGGAGTTGCAACATCTACAGTACCTAAAGTAGACACCTCAGGTGATTCTGTGGGCGTAATTAATCTAGCTCTCTGGTTCAATGAACCGGAAGAAGCGAGAGGCAAGATATTTTGAGATGGCAGTGATGATGAAGGTGGTGGAGGAACAAGACTGAGACTTGGTGCAGACACGTGTGAGTGGGGGCGAGGGGGCAGCCGTGGGCGGCGTTGAGGAGGAATGTTCGCCAGGGGTGGATTTGTTTTGACAGGAAGCTGTTTTCGCTCATCTGCAAAGTCAGCCATTGCCGGTATTGCCACTGTTGGTATTGCCGCTGATGCTGCTGCCACCACTTCCTCCTCCTCCTCCTCCTCCTCCTCTGATTCAATATCATCAAAGTAATCCTCAAATTCTTCATCATCATCATCCTACAAACAAAATACTGATTCAGTACACTTATTAAACGAAATAAATATGTAACACTGAACCAGTATTGCACGTGTTAAAATTCATACAATTAAACCCATAAATATAATAGGAATAGATTATCTGATATGAATATATATTATGGAGTTGAGATTATGCATCCCACAACAGTTGTGGGATGCATCATCACATCTCATCATACTCTTTTAAAGGAAATACAACTCAAAATTATCTATCAATGAAAACATGTAGGGTCATCCTAGAAAAGGATGAAGTGAAAGAGGTTTTGTGCGCAAGGGGCTTGGACATATAGCAGGCATGTGTGAGCATGTTAGACAGGAGAGAATGGAGACAAATGGTTTTTGGGATTTCACGAGCTGTTGGGGTGTGAGCAGGGTAATATTTTGTAAAGGGATTCGGGGAAACCAGTTAGCCAGAGTCCTGCAGGTGGGAAGTACACTGCCTGTACATTAAGGGATGGGACTGGGATATTGGCTGTTTGGAGTGGCATCTGAACTGTCATATATGGGTGCCTCTGCAAAGACAGTGATTATGTGGTTTCTTTTTCTGTCTCATAAACACGCTAGATAACAGGGATATCTTGCTACTCCTACTTACACTTTGGTCACACTTCACAGACACGCACATGCATATATATATACATACATCTAGGTTTTTCTCCTTTTTCTAAATAGCTCTTGTTCTTCTTTATTTCTTCTATTGTCCATGGGGAAGTGGAAAAGAATCTTTCCTCCGTAAGCCATGCGTGTCGTATGAGGCAACTAAAATGCCGGGAGCAATGGGCTAGTAACCCCTTCTCCTGTAGACATTTACTAAAAAAGAGAAGAAAGAAAAACTTTATAAAAACTGGGATGCTTAAATGTGCGTGATGTAGTGCGGATGACAAGAAACAGACGATTGCTGATGTTATGAATGAAAAGAAGTTGGATGTCCTGGCCCTAAGCGAAACAAAACTGAAGGGGTAGGAGAGTTTCAGTGGGGGAAATAAATGGGATTAAATCTGGAGTATCTGAGAGAGTTAGAGCAAAGGAAGGGGTAGCAGTAATGTTAAATGATCAGTTATGGAAGGAGAAAAGAGAATATGAATGTGTAAATTCAAGAATTATGTGGATTAAAGTAAAGGTTGGATGCGAGAAGTGGGTCATAATAAGCGGTATGCACCTGGAGAAGAGAGGAATGCAGAGGAGAGAGAGAGATTTTGGAGATGTTAAGTGAATGTATAGGAGCCTTTGAACCAAGTGAGAGAGTAATTGTGGTAGGGGACCTGAATGCTAAAGTAGGAGAAACTTTTAGAGAGGGTGTGGTAGGCAAGTTTGGGGTGCCAGGTGTAAATGATAATGGGAGCCCTTTGATTGAACTTTGTATAGAAAGGGGTTTAGTTATAGGTAATACATATTTTAAGAAAAAGAGATAAATAAGTATACAAGATATGATGTAGGGCGAAATGACAGTAGTTTGTTGGATTATGTATTGGTAGATAAAAGACTGTTGAGTAGACTTCAGGATGTACATGTTTATAGAGGGGCCACAGATATATCAGATCACTTTCTAGTTGTAGCTACACTGAGAGTAAAAGGTAGATGGGATACAAGGAGAATAGAAGCATCAGGGAAGAGAGAGGTGAAGGTTTATAAACTAAAAGAGGAGGCAGTTAGGGTAAGATAAAACAGCTATGGAGGATAGATGGGCTAAGAGAGCATAGGCAATGGGGTCGAAGAGGTATGGGGTAGGTTTTAAAAATGTAGTGTTAGAGTGTTCAGCAGAAGTTTGTGGTTACAGGAAAGTGGGTGCAGGAGGGAAGAGGAGCGATTGGTGGAATGATGATGTAAAGAGAGTAGTAAGGGAGAAAAAGTTAAGCATATGAGAAGTTTTTACAAAGTAGAAGTGATGCAAGGAGGAAGAGTATATGGAGAAAAGAGAGAGGTTAAGAGAGTGGTGAAGCAATGTAAAAAAGAGAGCAAATGAGAGAGTGGGTGAGATGTTATCAACAAATTTTGTTGAAAATAAGAAAGTTTTGGAGTGAGATTAACAAGTTAAGAAAGCCTAGAGAACAAATGGATTTGTCAGTTAAAAATATTAGAGGAGAGTTATTAAATGGAGAGTTAGAGGTATTGGGAAGATGGGGAATATTTTGAGGAATTGTTAAATGTTGATGAAGATTAGGGAAGCTAGTGATTTCGTGTATAGGGCAAGGAGGAATAACATCTTGTAGGAGTGAGGAAGAGCCAGTTGTGAGTGTGGGGGAAGTTCGTGAGGCAGTAGGTAAAATGAAAGGGGGTAAGGCAGCTGGGATTGATGGGATAAGATAGAAATGTTAAAAGCAGGTGGGGATATAGTTTTGGAGTGGTTGGTGCAATTATTTATAAATGTATGGAAAGGGTAAGGTACCTAGGGATTGGCAGAGAGCATGCATAGTTCCTTTGTATAAAGGCAAAGGGGATAAAAGAGTGCAAAAATTATAGGGGGATAAGTCTGTTGAGTATACCTGGTAAAGTGATGGTAGAATTATAATTGAAAGAATTAAGAGTAAGACGGAAAATAGGATAGCAGATGAACAAGGAGGCTTAGGAAAGGTAGGGGGTGTGTGGACCAGGTGTTTACAGTGAAACATATAAGTGAACAGTATTTAGATAAGGCTAAAGAGGTCTTTGTGGCATTTATGGATTTGGAAAAGGCGTATGACAGGGTGGATAGGGGGGCAATGTGGCAGATGTTGCAAGTGTATGGTGTAGGAGGTAGGTTACTGAAAGCAGTGAAGAGTTTTTTACGAGGATAGTGAGGCTCAAGTTAGAGTATGTAGGAAAGAGGGAAATTTTTTCCCAGTAAAAGTAGGCCTTAGACAAGGATGTGTGATGTCACCGTGGTTGTTTAATATATTTATAGATGGGGTTGTAAGAGAAGTAAATGCGAGGTCTTGCAAGAGGCGTGGAGTTAAAAGATAAAGAATCACATACAAAGTGGGAGTTGTCACAGCTGCTCTTGCTGATGACACTGTGCTCTTGGGAGATTCTGAAGAGAAGTTGCAGAGATTGGTGGATGAATTTGGTAGGGTGTGCAAAAGAAGAAAATTAAAGGTGAATACAGGAAAGAGTAAGGTTATGAGGATAACAAAAAGTTAGGTGATGAAAGATTGAATATCAGATTGGAGGGAGAGAGTATGGAGGAGGTGAACGTATTCAGATATTTGGGAGTGGAACGTGTCAGCAGATGGGTCTATGAAAGATGAGGTGAATCATAGAATTGATGAGGGAAAAAGAGTGAGTGGTGCACTTAGGAGTCTGTGGAGACAAAGAACTTTGTCCTTGGAGGCAAAGAGGGGAATGTATGAGAGTATAGTTTTACCAATGCTCTTTAATGGGTGTGAAGCATGGTGATGAATGTTGCAGCGAGGAAAAGGCTGGAGGCAGTGGAGATGTCATGTCTGAGGGCAATGTGTGGTGTGAATATAATGCAGAGAATTCGTAGTTTGGAAGTTAGGAGGAGGTGTGGGATTACCAAAACTGTTGTCCACAGGGCTGAGGAAGGGTTGTTGAGGTGGTTCGGACATGTAGAGAGAATGGAGCGAAACAGAATGACTTCAAGAGTGTATCAGTCTGTAGTGGAAGGAAGGTGGGGTAGGGGTCGGCCTAGGAAAGGTTGGAGGGAGGGGTAAAGGAGGTTTTGTGTGCGAGGGGCTTGGACTTCCAGCAGGCATGCGTGAGCGTGTTTGATAGGAGTGAATGGAGACAAATGGTTTTTAATACTTGACGTGCTGTTGGAGTGTGAGCAAAGTAACATTTATGAAGGGATTCAGGGAAACCGGCGGGCCGGACTTGAGTCCTGGAGAGGGGAAGTACAGTGCCTGCACTCTGAAGGAGGGGTGTTAATGTTGCAGTTTAAAAACTGTAGTGTAAAGCACCCTTCTGGCAAGACAGTGATGGAGTGAATGATGGTGAAAGTTTTTCTTTTTCGGGCCACCCTGCCTTGGTGGGAATCGGCCAGTGTGATAAAAAAAAAAAAAATAAAATATTGATTAAAGTGTTTCTTTTCTGGGTCACCCTGCCTCTATGGGAGACAGCTGATGTGTTAAAAAAAAATATTGTCATTCTTGACATGTGTGTTAGGAGTGATCAAGGTCCAGGGACCACAATATTTCAGCAATAAAGATATTGGAATGTTGCACAGTTATTATATAGCCAGAAGAATACAATAACCTAGGTAGTAGGCTGATAGACAGTAGCCACCCAGGGAGGTACTACCATCCTGCCAAGTGAGTGTAAAATGAAAGCCTGTAATTATTTTACATGATGGTAGGATTGCTGGTGTCTCTTTTCTGCCTCATAAGCATGCAAGATTTCAGGTACGTCTTGCTACTTCTACTTACACTTAGGTCACACTACACATACATGTACGAAGATATATATATACACACCCATCTGGGCTTTCTTCTATTTTCTTTCTAGATCTTGTTCTTGTTTATTTCCTCTTACCTCCATGGGGAAGTGGAACAGAATTCTTCCTCCGTAAATCATGCGTGTTGTAAGAGGTGACTAAAATGTTGGGAGCAAGGGGCTAGTAATCTCTTCTCCTGTATATATTAGTAAATGTACAAGGAGAAACTTTCATTTTTCCTTTTGGGCCACCCCGCCTCGGTGGGATACAGCCGGTGTGTTGAAAGAAAGAATACACATCAATCTGGGTTTTCTTCTATTTTCTTTCTAGTTTTTGTTTATTTCCTCTTATCTCCATGGGAAAGTGGAACAGAATTCTTCCTCCATAAGCCATGCATGTTGTAAGAGGCGATTAAATGCCAGGAGAAAGGGGCTAGTAACCCCTTCCCCTGTACAAATTACTAAATTTTAAAAGAAAAACTTTCATTTTCCTTTTTGGGCCACCCTGCCTTGGTGGGATATGGCCGGTTTGTTGGAGAGAGACAGAGAGACAGAGACAGAGAGAGAGACAGAGGGACAGAGAGAGACAGAGAGAGACAGAGAGAGACAGAGACAGAGAGACAGAGAGAGAGAGAGACAGAGAGAGAGAGACAGAGAGACAGACAGAGAGAGAGACAGAGAGAGACAGAGACAGAGAGAGAAAAAAAAAAAACACCTCTGGGTTTTCTTCTATTTTTTTACTAGTTGTTGTTCTTGTTTATCTCCTCTTATCTCCATGGGGAAGTGGAACAGAATTCTTCCTCCATAAGCCATGAGTGTCGTAAGAAGCGAATAAAATGCCAGGAGCAAAGGGCTAGTAACCCTTTCTCCTGATATATATTACTAAATTTAAAAGGAGAAACTTTTGTTTTTCTTTTTGGGCCACCCTGCCTCGGTGGGATATGGCAGGTTTGTTGAAAGAAGAAGAAGAAAGAAGAATACTGTACAATAAATGAAAAATTGCAAAACACACCTGATTGATTCGTGGTCGTCTATGATTAGACATGAACAGATCTTGAGGTAAATCATAACACTTGCATACACAGCATGATGGGAATCTGAACCAATCACTGTAAAAAATATATGTATGTAAATTATTACAATAATTATGGGCACAAAATACATTTTATACTAAATAATAAATTCAAAGGCATGTTAACTAAACTGAAGATCATTGGATCAGTTTAAATAATATGTAATTCTTTTGTAACTGACCATTTGTCATTGGTTACCTTTTTTATTGTACTTATGATTGTAGTTAACTGTACAAGAAGACCTACTTTACAGTCTTTATCTTGTTCTTAAGTAATATATAAGCCTGGAGTGAGATTAACAAGTTAAGGAAGCCTAGAAAACAAATGGATTTGTCAGTTAAAAATAGGAGAGGAGAGTTATTAAATGGAGAGTTAGAGGTATTGGGAAGATGGAGGGAATATTTTGAGGAATTGTTAAATGTTGATGAAGATAGGGAAGCTGTGATTTCGTGTATAGGGCAAGGAGGAATAACATCTTGTAGGAGTGAGGAAGAGCCAGTTGTGAGTGTGGGGGAAGTTCGTGAGGCAGTAGGTAAAATGAAAGGGGGTAAGGCAGCCGGGGTTGATGGGAAAAGATAGAAATGTTAAAAGTAGGTGGGGATATAGTTTTGGAAGTGGTTAGTGCAATTATTTAATAAATGTATGGAAGAGGGTAAGGTCCCTAGGGTTTGGCAGAGAGCTTTGCATAGTTCTTTGTATAAAGGCAAAGGGGACAAAAGAGTGTTTTGGTGTCCCTGGTAAAGTGTATGGTAGAGTTATTATTGAAAAAATTAAGAGAAAAGACGGAGAATAGGATAGCAGATGAACAAGGAGGCTTTAGGAAAGGTAGGGGGTGTGTGGACCAGGTGTTTACAGTGAAACATGAAAAGTAAACAGTATTTAGATAAGGCTAAAGAGGTTTTCGTGGCATTTATGGATTTGGAAAAGGCGTATGACAGGGTGGATAGGGGGCTATGTGGCAGATACTGCAGGTGTATGGTGTAGGAGGTAGGTTACTGAAAGCAGTAAAGAGTTTTTACGAGGATGTGAGGCTCAAGTTAGAGTATGTAGGAAAGAGAGATTATTTTCCCAGTAAAACTAGGCCTTAGACAAGGATGTATGATGTCATCATGGTTGTTTAACCCTTTGAGGGTTTCGGCCGAAACAGTACGGTTACGCCCCAGGGTTTTAAAGAAATAGTACGCCTAAATTCTAGCCCCCTAAAATTAGTGGGAAAAAAGTGGTGGGCCCCTACATATGAAAAAAATGGGTCAAATTTTGTTCAGTGTGCACGTAAAAAAAAAAACCCTGCAGCACACAGTGCATAATGAAAAAAAAAAAAATTTTGCCCTTTTTTTGGAAATAAAACGGGGGACTTTGCAGTGAAATTTTCGTTTGGTATTTATTGTTTTTTATTCTATTTTTCCCTTTTTTCAATTTTATAGAATGGAAGAATATTAAGAAATTGAGATGATTTTGACTGGTTTTACAAGGAAAATTTCCCTTGAAATTGAGCTAAAAGTAGCAGAAATGTTAGTTTTTAACCAAAAAGTTCAAAAGAAAAACAAATCATCCCAAGCAAAAAAATTTACACGTCAACTGGTGGGGTCTAATTTTTCTTTTGAAGGGGTTCCCAAATTTATTATTTTTACCTTTTTTGCCTAATGCAGTGGGCTGAAATAACAGAAAATCTTTCTTTTTTTTTTGTGAGAATAAAAATTCAAAGTGGAAAAGCAAAGAATGAAAGAGGGGCTTGGGGACGGGCAATGAACAAAGGAAATGTCTTTTTTAGTCCCAGGAATGTTTTTCTTGTTTATTCTGGACCCTATTGGGAAAAATTGGCATTTTTAAAATTTGTGTGAAATTGGAAAAAATTGCAAAATTTCTGACCACTGAAAGGATAGTTAAAATTGGTAAATAGATGGTTTCTTGCATAAATTCGATAGAAAAAATGGGAGTTTCTAGCAAAAATATTATTTTTTTTGTCGACTAGCGCAGTGGTTTGGGCCCAAAAAATGGGGCTCAAAGGGGGCCCAAAAATCGCCGATGCGAAAACCCATCGCCGGGGGCCCCCCCCTTTCCCCCAAAGGAAAATTTCCGAAATTTTTCCCATCAAATTTCAAAATTTTGGTGTCATTATGATCGGAAAAAGATTCTCTATCTTTTCATAAGACAAAATTTTTTTTTTTTTTTAAAATTTTGGGCCGGGACCCTGGAGAGTTCGGAGAGGGCCTGTCGCCCTCAAAGGGTTAATTTTTTATAGGGGGGGTTTTTTAAAGAGAAGTAAATGCAAGGGTTCTTGGAAAGAGGCGTGGAGTTAAAAAAAATAAAGAATCACACAAAGTGGGGTCGCCCCAGTTGCTTTTTGCTGATGAAAATGTGCTATTGGGAGTTCTGAAGAAAAGTTTCTGAGGTTGGTTGATGAATTTGGTAGTGTATGTAAAAGAAAAAAATTAAAAAAGTGAATACGGGAAAAGGTAAGGTTATGAGGATAACAAAAAGATTAGGTGTTGAAAGTTGGGGATATCGTTTTGGAGGGAGGAGTATGGAGGAGGGAAGTTTTCGATATTGGAGTGTATGTGTCAGGGTGGGTTATGAAAGAGAGGCGGGGTATGAATTGATGAGGGGGAAAAGGGTGAGCGGGGGCCCCTTTAGGATTTGTGGAGACAAGAATTTGCCCTTTGGAGGAAAGGGGGAAAAGGGTATGAGATTTAATAGTTTTCCCAAACTCTTTCATGGGTGGGAACCCATGGGTGAAAATGTTGCAGCGAGAAGGTGGAGGCAGTAAATGTCATGTTGGGGGGCAATGTGTGGTGGGGAATTTTAATGCAGAAAATTCTTTATTTTGGAAGTTAGGAGGAGGTGCGGGATTACCAAAAACTGTTGCCCCAGGGGTGGGAAGGGTTGTTGGGGTGGTTGGGAAATTGTAGAGAGAATGGGGGCGAAACAGAATGATTCAAGAGTGTATCAGCTGTAGTGGAAGGAAGGGGGGGTTTAGGGGGTGGGCCCTGGGAAGGTTTTGGAGGGGGGGGGGTTTTAAAGGGGGTGTGTGTTCGGGGGGGTTGGATTCCAGCGGGCATGCGTGAGCGTTTTTGGGTGGGAGTAAAGGGGAGAAAAATGGTTTTTTAATCCCTTAAAGTGCTGTTGGAGTGTGAGCAAAGAAAAACATTTTTGAAGGGATTCAGGGAATCCGGGGGGGGGGAAATTGAGCCCTGGGATGGGAATAATCCCTGCACTTGAAGGTTGGGTTTTTTTAATGTTCCCAGTTTAAAAACTGTATTTGTAAAGTACCCTTTTTGGCAAGACAGGGGATGGAGTAAATTTGATGGTAAAAAGTTTTTCTTTTTCGGGCCCACCCTGTTGGTGGGTTTCCCCCCTGGTTTTAATTTAAAAAAAAATTAATTTTTTATTTGCTAGAAATGAAATACACGGGTTTTTATTTTGTGCCTCCCATTGTTTTAAATTTAAATTTTAGCTACATTTTTTATTTGTGGGGCAAAAAAAAAAAAATTATTATTTATTATCAAATCTTTTCGTGGCATCAGTATTTTAAAAAACTTAATTACAGTATACGTACTCTATTTACGGAAATATAAAAAAATTTAAAAACTTTTTTTAAAAAAGCCCTTTAAACATATGACAACTTTTGTAGTGGATGGTGATGTAAACAGATTTTACCCGAAATTTTTAAAAATTCCATTTTTCCCACACCTGTATATAAAAAATGTTGGTCCACTTACTTTCATACTTTTTTCCTTTTTTGAAAAACCCTTACCCCAGGGGGGGTTTAAAAACCCGCGGTCAATTAAAAAAACTCCGGGCCCTTTCGTTTTTAGAGGGGGGCCAGTTTAGGTTCAAAAAGTTTCCCACCCAAACTAGGTAAATTTCTACCCCATAGGAAGGTTAGCATGGGCCCACCATTTTTGGACCACAAATCCCAAGTTTTTACGACGAATCTCCCACAACCCATGGCCATGATAAATTTAAAAAAAGCTCAAGCCCCTTCCAAAACCCATTAACATGACAAAAATAAAATCAAATAAACCCAATTCCCAAAACCAAAGGGTCCCAAACATGTATGGTTTGTATGCCATAAAAAAGCACAAGAAGATTTTTCAAGAGATATAAAAACCCTCCCCATCTTTTAACAAAAAAAATTACAAAAAAACCCTTTAAAGGACAGAAAAAGGAATTTTTAAAAAAAAAACACAGCAGGGAAATATGCCAGGGCATTCATTTGGTTAGGGTTTAAAAACCCAGAAGTTTTGTGCAGCGATACTGTGCTGCATGGCACCCAGAAAGGGCAATACATCTGACGGTTCCGTCCCTTTTGAGAAAACTTAAACATTTACTTTCTGCACTTTTTTCACAATGGACATCCCTAATTACAATGTATTAATGAAAAAAAAAAACTAAAAATAAAGGATACAAAAAACAAGAGGTTTATTTAAAAAAATTTATGGCCCTTCCCAAAAAAAATTGTTTGCCTTTAGATTTAATCTGAATTAAAAAGTCTTTTGAAGTTTACTGCATCGGAAAAATTGTATGCAAAACAAAACCTTTCAAAAAGGGTGTAATGGAAAGATTTACGAAACAGCAAGTGACACAAAACATATGGCCCTTTGGTTTTTTTGTTTGAAAACTTTTATAATACTGGGGCAAGACAAAAAAAAAAAAATCTGTTCGGACAAAATTTTTTCCTTCTACGAAGAGAAATTTCCTTTTTTTTTTTTTTTCTTTCTAAATTTTCTTAAACAATACAAAAGTGTTACCAATATATACTTGTATTTTTCCAACTCCCTTTTTACATTTTAGTTGTAGGGGTCAGTCTTGGGTTCCCGGGGTCTGCTTTTCAAATTCCTTTTTTCCTTGTGGGTTTTTATATCTCTTTTTTTAAAATCACGTATGAAAACTGTTTTCCATAGCTTCTTTTGTTGGGGGTCATTCCAAAACCCCACCCCCCTGAGATGAAAAAAACTTCGGGGTACCTTTTTTCTTGCCTCTTTAAAAAAGTTGTCTCTGTCTGCCCCATCAATTTCCCCCAAAACCCATTTTTTTTTTCCCTTTAAACACTTTCACTAACTTGTACAATGAAAAATTTTTAGATATGAGCTACTGTATTACTTGAATACAAGGTAAATTTTAAATTTTTTAACAAATTCTAAAACAAAAGTTTGCCCGAATACTTTCTGAAACGCTCCCCGAACATATTGCTCAAAAAGGGGGGGGTTGAGCAGGGCAGTGTGTCACCAGGGTTTTTGTTGGCCCCCGTATGGGTGCAAAAAAATTCTTCCTTGCAGGAAAGCATTTTTGTGGAAGATTATTAAATTTTGGGCATGTCTGAAGATAAATAAAATTAAAAAAAATTTATATTATTGTATAATGTTTTTTGTTTACTTAATGAATTTTGTAAGAAAGAGAAGGGTAGATATAGGGATGTAATGAAAATTTGGTTTTTTTAGATTATGTATTGGTGGATTAAAAAAGTTGATGGGTAGGGTCCAAGGGGTGTACATGTTTTTAAAAGGGGCAAACTGATTTTTTCGGATCATTTTTAGTTGAAGCTCGTTAGAGTAAGAGGAAAATGGGAAAAAAGAGGAAAATGGCAACAAAAACAAGAGGGAGGTGAAAGTGGGATAAAATAAGGGAGGAGGGAAAATTCGGGTGAGGGTATTGCCCAAATATTGGCAGAAAGGTGGGTGGTGAAATATGAGTAGTGGAAGGGGGGGGGGGGCTTGAAGAGGGTTTGGGAAAAGTTTTTTAAAAAAGTTGTATTAAAATGGGGGGCAGAAAAATTTGTGGTTTTAGGGGGTGGGGGGGAGGGGGGAAAGGGAGGGGATTGGGGGAAAGATGAAATAAAGGGGGATGATATAAGAGAAAAAAGGGAGCTTTGAGAGGTTTTTACAAAGGGAGAAGTGTTTCAAAAAGGGGTAGAGTATATGGGGAGTAAAAGGGAAAAGGGGAAGAGGTGGTTTAGAGTGCAAAAGGAGAGCAGTGATAGAGTGGGGGGGGGCATGTCAAGAAAATTTTAAGGAAAAAAAGAAAAAAATTTTTGGGGTTTAGTTCAACAAGTTAAGAAAAACCCAGGAGTGAAAGGATTTGGGCAGTTTTTTAAAAAGTAGGGGGTTTGTAGATGGGGAGATGGAGGTTTTTTGGGGGGGGTGGCAAGAATATTTTTAGGAACTTTTAAAAGCGAGAAGAAAAAGGGAAGCTGTAATTTTTAAAGCACTGGACAGGGAGGTTTTACCCCTCTTTTAGGAGTGAAGAACAGGATGTTGGTGTGGGGGAGGTGCGTGGGGATTTGTAGAATTTAAAGGGGGGGAAAAACAGCTGGAACTGGCGTGATAAAGACGAAATGTTAAAAACAGGGAGGGGGGTTTTTATTTTTGGAGTGGTTGGTACTTTTGGTTTTTTAAAAAATGTTTGAAAAGAGGGAAAAAGGGACCCAGGGGTTGGGAGAGAGCATGTATTTGTCCCCTTTTTAAAAAAAGGGAAGGGAGACAAAGATTGTAATAATTAAGAGGAATAAGTTTACCGCGTATTGGCCCGGGAAAATGGGACGGTGGGTTATAATTGAAAGGAAATTTGAGGCAAAAACAGAATGTAGGATTGCGGATTTAGCAAGGAAAGGTTTTAGAGGGGGGGGGGGATGGTAGATCAGTGTTTACATTTTAAGGAAAAATATTTTGAACGTATTTAGATAAAAAGGGAGGGGAAATTTTTATTGCATTTATGGGTTTTGAAAAAGGGCATATGATGAGTGGATAGGAGGAGCAATGTGGGGAGATGGGTGCAAGTATTTTGGAAAAGGTGGTAAAATTCTAAATGTTGTAAAGAGATTTTATGGGATAGTGAGGCTCAGGGGTTTGGGTGTGTTGAAAAGGGGAGAATACCCCGGTTAAAAATAGGGCAACAGGGGTGTGTAATGTCACCATGGTTGTTTAATATTTTTATAGATGGGGTTGAAAAGGGAAATAAAAAGCTGGGTTTTTAGGAGAGGGGTTGGGGTTAAATTTTGGGGGGAAATTTAAAACAAAAAAGGGAATTTCACAGTTGCCC